ATTTTATTTACCTGGTTTAGGAGAAGGTTTCAAATGTTCCTCCATGGCACTTTCAAACAATTTCTTTTTATCGCTAACTGACATCTTCACTAAAGGTGGTGTTGGTGATGGTGTTGGTGAAAGCTGTATTTTAAAGCATTACATTGATATTTTATAGAGATAATTCTTATAGAAACATAAATATCAATATATCTTTTAATAAGAATAACAATAATTCCATTTTCAGTATGCACTACTACATGCATTTAGTCTGTACTTAAATAATCTTGTTAATATAGGAGTTATAATTTTTATGAAAGAAAAAAGATCAGCGATCTAAACGCTCCAACATTCTCGATAAAAAATACGATGAAAAATAGTATGCATTAGTGCTAGTTTTTTTAAACATGCTTTTTAAAACCCACCTCAACCTGATTATTCCCATCAACAGAGCGTGCGTTCTGTCGTTTACCAAAAGAAACTGAAGTGCCATAATCTCCCATGGATGGGGGAGCAGTCAAAGGCGTAGGAGGAAGTTTGAAACGCGACTGAGTACTTTGAATAGGACTTTGATAGACTTTTTTATAGGAAGTAATTTGAGGATCGGAAATATATCTATTATCGTGCAAAGATGAGGAATGTTTCTTTATTGAAGGTGAAGTGGGATAATTAACTGATCCTTCCCTGGAAGGAGGAGGAAGATCAGCAAATGTAATACTACGTTTTGGTATGGAACTTTTTTTCTTTGGAGAGGGCAAGCTTTGGACAGCAGTAATGCGATTGAAATTCATTGATGGAGTAAGAGTAGAGACCGGAGACTTGGGCGATGGATTGTCCACTGATGTTCCATCTCTCTCTTTCCTCAGTGACTGAGTAAATAACACGAAGAAATTATATTAGTAAAGTCAATGCAATTTCCTATCGCAATATAGAATGCAGTAAAAATACGAAATTATTGATCAAGCGTTATGTAAGTATATATAACAGACTAACAAAAGAATTTCTAACAATCGATCAACTAACAAGAAACAAAAATGTGTAACTTCTACATCATATTAAATGAGAAAACATTTTCTATTTCTGTATCCTTTAAGTTTAATAATCTTATTTTTTATAAAATTTGTAATTATACTTCAAAAACAGATTTATTTTCAATACTACATCTCATACAAAATCTATATTAGAATTAAAAAGGAATCAGTTTTGAACTTATTAATTCTTAATATTCTTCCTCTTTTATCATCTATACGTTCAATATTATATCAATTGTACTATTATTGCAACAATTAATGCAGCTTTGCGCATAATTTTTATTTGTATACCCTTCCAATGATTTTAAATATATTAAAATCGATTTTATAAAGTTACTTCATATTTGTACCCTCTATCCATCACCTTTTCATACATATCAATGCATCGCAAGATATTCTAAAATGTTGTCAATTAGGTAACTTTTATCCCAAATTATGATTCAATAACAGGAACTGTGATCTTTGCATTACTAAATATGAACATGAAAAATGTATTCTCTCGTAATTTATAGAGCTAACAGGATAAAATGTAATTCACTTTCAGAAGAGCCTGCCGCATTGATACATTTGAATAAAGCACTGCACGTATTTCATCTTTATGTCTGTCAACTGGAACTTCTCAACATTAACATAACTTTTTTTTTTATAATTAGATAAATATTATCTTATCTTTATGCTTTGTAATAATATATAAACATCTGGTCCATTAGATTTATATCAACATATAACATTTATAGAACATTTGTAGAATACAGTACATCGATTTATATGTTAGTAATGATATGAGTTTATTGTAGAAATAACCATTCAAGAATGCTAGCATTTATAATCTTAAAAAAAATGCTAGATGCATAAATATCTTATCAAATAATATTTTATGTCTCACTGGACATTTTATTTCTCTTTCTTTTCTTTTACTTTAGCTGTACATCATATTATAATGATATAAATAATTAAAACTTTATGGATATTTTTTTTTTACTCTCCTATTTAGTGACACACGCATTGATCATTGTCTTTGTTTCCAATGACACTCAGTTTTAAGTAAATAGACTATAAAATTGTGAAAATTATAACATATGCACTATTTTCTATGATATGCTTACATTTCTGTAAAGTGATAAAATATTCCAATTTTTTTTTTTTTTACGTGACTATTTTACTAATAATATAAAAAAAGACAATTTTAATATATTTCGTTCTCGGTATACCAAAATATTTGGAATAATAATAAATAAAACTGATTGTTGATCTTTTCTTAATATTACATAAATTAGAGAATACTAAACAAGTAAAATTATCAAGAATAATATATCAAAAGTATTCCAAGTATAATAATGCCAATTCTTAGAAGTGTTGTTAATTTTTAAATACAAATCTCGTTTCTTTAGTTAGTATCAAGTCGTGTATCAAAAAAAGGACAGTAATACCTGTTCTTTGTGAAACATAAGTTTCAAGTATATTATTATAAAAATTTATAGAAATATAATATACTTGTTACTTGTTGATCACATTGCAACAGGAATCCTTTAATATCTTCTCTTACTTTCAATAACTCTGATCCAACATCCAGACGTTCATCTAATTTCTGTAAGCTTAATCAATTGCAATAGTCGCGCATCATACGTTTTTCCAATCTGTCAAAATAGACTGTGAAATAAGTTTAAGAATCAGTGTACAAATATTGCTAAAAAATATTCGGTAAATACATGGGAAGTTCTTGTCGTCTATGACATCGGACTACCTATCACAGAAATATCTCTTCATGTTCATCTTTTAACCGATATTTATGAACGAAAGAGTGATGAATATGTACACAAGAATCTGTAGTTAAGGAGGATATCACATTTTCGTGATGATTAAAATTTTGACCCCGTTTTTGGACCAAAACAAGAAACCAATCACAGAGAATCAATCTAGCCAGTCAGCATATTCGCAATAATTACACTTAATATCATAATGGCAGTATCAGTAACAAACGGAGTAACGATAGTTAAATTGTACATATAGTGATACTCATGAAACGCAATAAACACCGTGATTATGCGAGTTAACGACATGAATTCCTTAGAATAATTTTATTATGGCACAGTCCCGCGGATTCAGAGGTATGGACGTAGACACAGGGAAAATGAGTAGAGGGTCGAACGACTCACTCCTGTTAGAGGGCAGCCAAAGTAGCGCTATCACCTTCCACTGTCTGCAAACATGTGAAACATCTCTTGTTTTGCCGCTCAGGAGAGCATGCGACGCTAAGAACACTGACAAATGTACATTTCATGCGTCACGTATTAAAAATAAGTAATGAGACTTATGATGAGTGTATGAATAATGACAAATAATAAAACTGATACCAAACTGAGCAATTCATATGAACTTATGTATAATCATTCGAAGGATACAAAAATTAAAAAGTTAATGTTATCTTCTCTTTACGGATAGTTGAGAATTAGTAATTTGTTATTAGATATGATTCTTTGTTCTCTTCAAAAAGTTATGTAAAAATAAATATATAGGTCTATGGTTTTTAATAAGGAGAAATGCAATATATATTTTTAAAAACTAGCGTCCATGCTTATGCTACTGTATAAGAATGTACACAATGGGAGAGCAACGTTTTTTATTCAACACCACATTGTACCACAATAATAAATATCTTTTCACATCTTCTTTTTTACATCTTTAAAATTTATAAATTGAAATTTTCAAACGTCCCTCCTTTTGTTCCAGTGCCATTAATAAAATGTAGCATACTTTTGTTAATAAGTTATATGTATATGTACCCGTGAAAACATGTACGCGAACGTACACGTAATATGAGCAAATAAACAAATGATGCTCGATAAAACACATACTGAAGTCATGCATTTTGTGTAAACAAAACATAAAGTTAAAAGTTGCAATTTTTTAATAATTTATAAAAACAAAAAGTAAGCAAATAAAAAGATAGCTAAACTACAAAGTTAAACAATCCATTTGTGCAACCGTTATTTATAAAAATGTATTAAATGTTTGAAACGACTAAAATTAAACAGAAAAAAAAATCAAACCGTTTAGTTACATAAGAATATTTTTAAATATTCAAATACTATAGCTATAGTTATTATTATCATATACTAATAAAGACAAACTACAATTTGCAAGTTATTTGTAAAAACATGCACGTATAGTAATATGTTAACTTTAAATTTGTAATGTTATAGAAGATACTTACGTTTGTATTTTGAGGTGCTAAAGTGTGTTTGCTCATTACAATAGTGGTTGTTTTGAGATCTTTTGTACCACCTGGTGATTTTGGTGGTACAACCATGTCAACTGGACTACTTGATTTGCTTACTAACGATTCAGCTGCTCTTACTACATCTAATACCTGTTTAATTTGAAAATATTTGATTTTAAAATTAATATGACATTAATAAATAGTATCACTTAGCATTTAGTTTAATATTTCATTTCTTCTACGATGGATCTTACTTTTTCTGGAGTAGATTTTTCTCTATGCTCAAGCAATGCACGTTCTCTTTCTTCTTGTTCCCATGCTACAAGTTCAGCTTTCATTTCTTGTTCTTGTCTGAGAGTTGCTGCTTCTTCGTCATCACGATCCAAACTGGATATACTTTGCGATAACGATTTAGTACCCTCTGTTGTGGGATCTTTCAATTCCTTGGATGTTCTAGATTCTTTAGGATCTCTACTGTCAGATATTGGCAATACTGGTTCAATTTCGCTTTTGTCATATCCTTTGCAAACCACTAATGTAATTGTATTTCCTGAACACCGTAATATATTTACTGCTTCTTGATGAGTTGCACCTAACAGCGATGTACCATTGACTTCTAACAGTCTCATTCCAACCTAAAATTAAGAAAATAACATAAAATTATTACGTAAATCTCTTGTCGTTATAATTATCAGTAAAATTGTTTACCTTCAGTCTTCCATCTCTTTTAGCCGCACCGCCTGAGTTGATTTTCGATATAAAAACTCCTTCATCTGTATGATCAAGGGGATTGCCTTTTTGTCCTCGAAGTCCTCCTTTAATGTGCATACCCAATTTTTCGCCTGGTTCTTTTGTAATAACTAATTCCTAAAATACAACATTATTTTTAAATATATCTCTATCATGTTTCACGCATTGTTTCATTTAATTTTTATAAAATTTTCATAACTCATACTTTTATTTTCAATGTGATATACTTGTATAAGAATTACAAATGCATGATGTATGATTGATGTATTAAAAGCAAGTAAAAAAAGGTTTTAAATTCTATATAATCTCAGCCTAGGCAGAAAAGCAATTGCTCGTGATTCGGTGCTGAGCTTACTTGCAGCCTCAACAGAGGGATAAGCGTGGTATTCAAAAATAAAAAATAAGAGGTCAAATTAATTGAGTACTTACTGTCACAGGGATGTACTCTATTTCGACCAGCTTGTTGGACAAATTATAAATAACAGCATTAGGAAATGCCACAACAAAACGATTATAAGTGAAGCACTTGAGTGCTACTATTTGCAGATAATAAGCTTTTCACTGGTGAACATAATGCATTAAGTACCAATGAACTGATCCTATTCTATTCTATTATTATTATTCTTTGATGTGTATATTTAAATATACTACATATATGTATATTTACGCATTTTTAATACGTTGGAATATAATATGGATGGTTTTGCTTTGACGCTAAATTTAAATATGTATCGTAAGTTTTGAGAATTGAGCGTGACAAAATATTCATTGTGAATTTGTGATTTGTAAAGTTATATTTCTATAAGCGTGTTTTATTGAAAAAGCTATTTTATAATTAAAAAGCAAAAACTCTCTATAAATGTGCAGTAACTAACAAGCACGTAATAATTAAATTACAAATAGTTTACCTGATAATTTTCTGGTAGTGGATCATGTTGAACAGTAAGCACTATTTGATCGCCTGGTCGCAAAAGTTCCATCACAGCCTCTTGATGAGTAGCTTTTGTTACATCGGTACCATTTACCTTTAGTATCCTATCGCCCATTCTTAATTTACCAGATTTTGCGGCTATACCACCAGGCACAACCTATTTGCACAAAAAATATATAAATTCTGAGTATTAAAAATGATGTCAAAAAACTTACATGAGATATAAAAATTCCAGGTTCTTTTGCACCAAATGGAGTACACGAATGATCCGTACCACCGATAATACTGAATCCTAGGGACCCTTCTTTTACAAGAATTACGTCCTAAAAATTAATATTAATTGTCAAAAACTCAAATACATAAAATTTTCATTTTATTTAAATTATATGGGTAAATTATCTTAAAAATGTAACGCTGTGGATATAAGAATGAAAAATGGAATTTTATAGTAATGAAGGATGCACATAATTTGATAAAAAAATATATTTAACTTATATATTACTTACCTATTTCCATGCCAGAGAATAAGCACCCGAGGTTAAAATAATATAACATTCCATATAACCAATTTCTATCAAATACTTTTAGATATGGTTTGATAATGCACACACAGAAAAATTATATTTACTGAATCAAACCAATGACGATCAATTTCAAATATATATAGGCATGCAATGAAATGTAATTCATCACGAAAGTAAAACATATAAATATAAATGATATAATAATGTTCGAATTGTTTTTCTCAAAATAATAAATAATGTTACAATTCATTTTTTAATTAAACATGCACGAGGAGCAAAAAACCATTTGACCACCATTTCCCAAATTATAGTTATTCTAAAGATAATTTTAATTGACTGCATTGGAATACATTTAACAAAGTATTATATTAAATATTAAAACTTATATGTAAGAATTTTATAAAATAACGTTTAATAGGATTGTGATTATTATCCAAGCATGGAAATAAGTTAATACATTACGAATACTAAATACTTAAATTTTACCTAAAATATTTAAAAAATTACGAAACTTCTCTTTTTATCATTGCTCGCGTTGAATAACTGAGAAGAATAAACAATACTTTTTCTTTTTTAGTAAGACTTTTTATAGCTTTCTTCAAACCGTATGTGCAATATAATCCATGCATCTACCAAGCACATACCTCAATAATTACTGGTGGTACCAATTGATTTTCAGTCACCCTAGTTACGACGGTCTCGGTGAGAGTGCTCTTTGTGATGGTCTCAGTAACTTTACCAAGTGTAGTGGGAGCCGGAGGAAAATTGACATCTCCAGGTAGATTATCAGGCTGCTTTATTGTCACTGTCACGATAGGGCCTTGATGGGAATCTGGCGATGGTGAGGAAGTAGGAGGACGAAGGAAATGAGCAGGAATCATAGCCTGAAATTCTTCGTTGGTGATAGGCTTCGATACCTGTATGTCCTCCTGGGGTGAGGTTGACCTAGGTTCTGTAGAAGATGTGGGCGTTGAGCTTGCAGTTGTCGTGGGTGTAATTGTTGGTTGTGAAATGCTGTGCCTGGGGGCAGGTTGTGGATGTGGTTGACTATTTGTTGGACTTGGCGATATCGAAGAAATATTCTTAACATTTCCTGATTCTGTAACACCATTCATTTTCGGTAACTCGGTAGTTTCAATTTTCATAGGTGGAGGCGTTTTCGAAGTGGGACTTGGCGATAAAGTTCTATCAGCATCGATAGAACGCCGATATCCAGTGTAACCTGGCCTATTTGCTATATAACTATTAGCGTTATATAATCCTGTGTATGGTCTAGGTGCACCTATCACTCGTGGTGACTTTTCTGAAGGCGTTAAGACTGTGGCTGCATTTGCTTGCGAAAGTGGAATTTCACGTTCGACCACTAATCGAACGAATCTTTCCAAGCCTGTTAGTAAAGCAACTGCTTGCTCGTGCTTAGCTCCTCTCATTTCGACCCCATTAATCTATAAAATAATTTTATCATATGGAAAATAAAAATATGGTAATATGGAATAATATTCTAGTATATTATAACGCTAGACTTACAGATATTACTTTGTCTCCAACTAATAATTTACCATCTTTTTGTGCCACACCACCGTCAGTTATTCTTGAAATATATATTGCCTAAACATTACATTTGAAAAAAGATGCTAAGTATAATTAATGAAAGAAATAAGCATCGAGAATAATTTCATAAATTAAAATCCTTACATCACTATTGTCTTTAAATGGTGGAGAACCTTCCCCACCAGCAATACTAAATCCAAGTCCATTTTGGTCCCGTATTAATGTCGTATGAACAAGAACAGATACCATTGGTTCATTGCCCACCTTCGTTGAAGATATAGGTTCAGGAATTTTCTTAGACTTATTGAAATAGAAATTTTTAATTTTATGTTTTGGTTTATAAATTATATATATATATATTGTGCTTATTAAATCTAAAAAATATATACCTTAATAACATCATGAGGTAAAGCATCACCGTTTTCTAAATTATGCGATAAACCTGTGGATGAAACATGAGACGTCGCACTTGGGGCTCTACTAGTACTCAAACTAGAACATACCGAGTCTTTTCTCGACGATACCTAACAAGTATAACAATGTTAATATCATTAAATGATTTGCATTTCATAAAATAGTACCTGTTCATATGGCGGCACTATCCTTGTAACTTCTCTTTGAACTACTAATACAAGAACACGTCCACAAGCTTTTAAAACTTCTACAGCATCATAATGACCTACATTTACAACTGAAACACCATTTACAGACAATACTTTATCCTCCACTTTCAAACCTGCTAAATCTGCAGGTCCACCTGTAGAAGAAAATAGAATAAATACGTTAGGTAAACTTGATAATCGCATGTCTTGCAATTGAAAGTTAGGTTTCTTTATTCAAATTTTTACCTTCCGTGACTCTGGAAATAAAAATGCCTTCATCATCACCCTTAAAAGGAGTTGAACCGATTCCACCAGCTATCGATAAACCAAGACCACCTGTTGTTCTTTCGATATGAATTTCGTATTGTTCCTCTCGTACTTCTATCGTTGGTTCAGCATCAGAAGTCGCACCTACACGATACATTTAATTGGCGTCATTATACTTATTTATGTAAACGAATCGTTTTACTAACTTTTAGTTCTTTTTCTTTTCGTTCTTACAAAACATTTATATTTTTTTGACATTTTTAATAATATCATTTATTTAGGATATATAGAACATCAGTTAAATTTTGAGTTGTATTTTTTCATTTTGTGATTTTCCTCCATGCACGCACACTTGCTATATCGAGTTTGATAGATAACTGAATAAATGATAAGATAGCTAATGAAAAAAGTATATCTTATCTTGAACTGTGTTTAATGTCAGTGATTAAGAAGCAAACATAGCAGGAGGTTCAGAAAGATTCGCCATCTAAGACAGCTTATGACAAAGAGATATGTTGTTGTACCTATTGAAGTATTTTATTTTATACATAATATCTGAATGTTGTACTTCAATTCAAGTGATAAATTTAGAAGTGATATAAAGAAATGCATCAAGAAAAAAGTGATATACTTGCAAATGTTTTACCTTGACTTTGAGCGTCAAAATTTTCTGCGGGTTCTGTAGGTGCTGACGTGGATGTGGTGATCTCGTCATTTTTCTTCATAAGTGCCTGATACATATTAAAAACTATATAAAACGTCTTTTAATTAATTATATACAAATATATACTTATTTAAGTAGTCTTGAAAAATATGATTTTTTTAGGTAGATAATAATTACCTGTGCAATAATGGAAGCTACTTTTTCTTTATCTACTGCTTTATCTACTGCGTGAATTCGCTTGTTTTTCAAATGATGTGGAGTATCTCTACGATGAAGCTTATTTGGTCTATTTGAATCACCACTACCATCATAATCGGTACTTTCTATTATAGAAAATTCTACGTGTCTTTGTGTTTCTTCATACTCGGATTCTTCCTCCTCTTTGTCATTTCTATCCTTTGATTCAGGTACTGAACTCTCAGTTCCCATATCCTAAATAATTTTTACAATATGTAGTAACAAATAAATAAATAAATCAATAAATTATTATTAACATAAATACTTACAGCATTAGATTCTGTAATATATTGATTAGAAGTTATTTCTGGTTCATTGCTAGATTCGAAATCTGCATTATCAGCTACTATTCCAGGTACAGTTTCTTTTTGTTCATTTTCTACTGATTCAGGTTTTAATGATTCTTGCTCTGTGATGTCTGCTGTCAAATCATTGGACTTTGTTGACATATCAGTCTCAGTTTTATCCAAACCAAATGTTTGAGATACATCCTGAGAAATATTATTAATATTTACGTTAAAAAATATCACGTGATATTTTTGAAAAAATTAAATTAATAATTACTTGGTCCTCTGTAGATGCTGATCGGCTATCATTTTTCCCTTTACTAAATAATTTATGAGCTTTTGCTTTCAATTCTTTGGGATGAGGCGTATTTTGCCGTACAAACGGTGTCTGAAATAATTATAAACATTATACTTACATAATTTTAAGGAAAGAAAATAAATGGTTAGGAAAAAAATAGACTTTTGTTTCGTTTTTCGTTGTAATTTTAATATAATGAGTCATAAGAATAATATTGTTTCCAACACATAAAATATCTTGAGAATGCTCTGAACTTAGATATAGTGAATCTCAAAAATCTAGGAGGTTTCGTCATATGTAACTTGCTCACCTCCTTATCAGTTTCCGGAGGTTCATCCGTAAACTTTACAGAATGCGTTCGTGATGCTTCTTTTTCTTGCCAACCTTCATCATCACTACTACCAAGCTCGCGTATTTCACCATCTTGAGCAGCATTTCTCATACCACCACCAAGCATACCAAGTCTTCCTGAATCTACAAATTATGTCACATATAATTCACATTATAAATTCAATACTTTTCATCAAACTATACTTTTGTGAGATAGGTGTACTAACCATCTGGATGGATTTCCAATTGCGGTAAAAGAAAACAGATTAATACTTCTTGCCCTGTTTCTTCATCAATATCTGTCTGAAAAGTAAGCATTGGTTGTGCTTGATTTTTACTTAACCATACTGCCTTTAAATTCAAATTGATCAAGGAATATGGCAAGTATTGTAATCTGAAAAAATGAATATTATGTTAAAAAGTATCATTAACAGAACATAAAGAAATCTCGATATTTAAAATAATATAATTGCATACCTATTTCCAGACACATCCAACACATGAAGAGCGGTACATTGTCCAACTTCGGCAGGAAGATATTGCAATTTATTATCTCTTAAAGACAGTACACCCAATTGTTTTAAATTTCCTGTAGAAAAAAGGTATTTGATAAAACTTATTTTTCGTATCATTATACTGTGTAATCTTAATGGCACTTTTCTTACCGATTTCTGTAGGAAGCGACTGTAAACTATTTCTATCTACATTTAAATTATTTAGATTAAGAAGTTTTCCTATAGTTACAGGCAGTTCTAGGAGAAAATTTTCCGTAAGAATCAATTCTTGTAAATTCTCGCACCTACAACGAATAAATAATTAATTTTTACTATCATATCCTCTATAAATCAACATTTATTATAGAAGGAAAAATTAATCTCACCTGCCTATATTTGGATTTAGTGTGGAAAGCCTATTTTGATCGACTTTAAGAATAGTAAGTTTTTTTAATTCCCCAAGGCCATCAGGCAATTTTTCAATAACATTCTGCGATAAATGTAAATCTGTTAAAGATTCTAAACCTCCTATTTCCTCTGGAAGATCTTCCAGGCGATTTTCAGACACGTCCAGGCACGCTAGCGTTTTCAGTTCTCCGATTTCCGATGGCAAGTGTTGCAACTGATTATGATCCAACCATAATTCTTGCAACGCTGGTAATTTTCCTATATGTGCTGGCTAAAATAGAAGTCCCAAATTTATAACAAATATTATATTAATTAAGCAATAATTAATTCTGTTTCGGTTATAGTATCTTTTATGATGATTTATTTAGTATCTGCCTTACTAAAATCTCAATGTCATTGTCACCAAGATCCAGCCGCTCCAATTTATAAAGTTGAGAAAGCGACTCCGGCAAAGATTTGAGCAAATTTTCCCTCAACTCCAATGATTGTAACGCCTCCAAGCTGCGAACAATCGATGCAGAAACTTGTTGCAATTCATAATGACATAATGCAATTCAATTAAACGGTCCTAAGTTCGAATGTAATTAAAGCGAGTTCTTGTTGCCATTACCTTCCGAAATCAGGCGGTAAATTCGTAAGGGACATATCGTTAAGTCCTAAAACAGTTAAGTTCCTTAATTGCACGAATCCCGCTGGGAGCCTGCAATGATAAATTCGTTTCCTTTTTTTTTTTTTAAATTCTGAACAAATGCTTTCGACGACTTTTAAAAACGAAATGCAAGCACTTTACGCGAGAAGAGACAAACGTGAGAATTTATTGACCTTGGAATTGGATTACTGCTGAAATCCGCCACCTGAAGTGCCCGTAAATTCTTGATGTTCTCAGGAATGTCTGGTATATCTGAAACGAGAAAGTATGATAAATAAAACCTTGCGTTGCATTTTTAATTCGGAGAAAAGTCACTGAACATCTGTATATGTCTAAAGATTTATATAGAGATATATTTCCTTGTTATAGAGAGAGCATCAAAGTCTAAACATAAAGGGGAGGAAAAAATTAACTAAGAAATTTATTTTCATTTCAACATTCGCTTAAATTCATTTTAACATTCGCTCGATATACATTGCAACGCAATGCATAATTATGTTAATTAATGATATCCGTATCGGCACGATTAAATCGACATCGACGAAATTATTCAAGTCACAAATTGTGAATTAACACGCACTTCGTTAGAAAATACACTCGCGATATATATATACTTTTCTACTTCGTCAACGTGCTTTCATTCAATCATACTTAGTTCGAATATTTCGTAATAAAAAGGAAACGCAACCACTCTCGCAAGACAAAACAAATAAAATTAGTACAAATTGCAAATTGAATTAACGTTACGATTAAAAATTGAAGATTGAATTTGATCGAGAATTTTTAACTGTTTCATCCAGCGAGTGGAAACGTTTTCTTTTTATTAATTAAATTTGACAGATCAAAGTTTCTTCTTATTAAGATTATAAACTTTTCAGAACTGTTCGAGCAACAGAAATAAATAATACGTTATGTTAATTAATTAATATGCAGGAAACCGTTTACTAGCCAATAACAAATTCCTTCGTGAAATATAAACGCAACTCGCTGTACTAAACACAGCTATTGCATAAGAATGCAGGATGCTGCACTGTCGTGGATGAAATAATACCGTACACGCATTCTTTCTGTTGTATTTCACTGCGTGGCCGAAGAATTTCATGAATTCAAGCGAATGGCGAATCGAGCAATTAAATATAAAAACACTGTTTCATTACGGTTGTTCATACAAAAGTAAAATGTAAAAAATACATACATCAAGATCATTACGTATGTATACTCGGTTAGATATGTATATATATATATATATATATATATATATATATAAATAACCAGAATTTAATAAAAACAAGTTTTTTATGCAGTTCCTTCTACGACAATTACAACGTTATTTTATTTCATTTATACATAACTGTTATAATGCAATAGGATCGAATTATGACGAATACGTTTTTAAACGTATTATGAATCATACCGCGATTATGCATTCTCAAGTCGAGAGATGAAACAGAGGAAAAGGAGGAGAGGAATGGAGAGACCGTGGATCGCATAGCAAACGAGCCGATAGGCTTTACGAGCAAATCGAACCTTGAAAAACCGCTAGTTACTTTTAACATAGTGGTTCGCAACTTCAGAATCATCGCGGCTGTTTTAGACTTATTAGCGATAAGTATGTAATTTCTCTTCTATAGAACAACGTTACCAACTGTTCTATGCTATAATTTCTCAACTTTGATAATAACGCAACACGGATGATCTCAGAACGGAGAACTTTTACGCTCGATTATATCGGAGAGCAGTATAACTCACGTTTCACGTAGAAATGGACATTGTATTCGTTTTAAAATACTGTAAATTTATATTATTTATATTTATTATATTTTAGTATATTTATATTTATTATATTATTTATATTATATTATATTTTAGTATATTTATATTTATTATATTATATTTTAGTATATTTATATTTATTATATTATTTATATTATTATTATTATTATTATTATTATTAATTTATTTTATAATATTATATATTATAGTGCTAATATAATATCTGCTGTACTATTTTACCTACTGCATATTTTATTATATTTATATTTATATTTATTATATTATTTATATTTATATTATTGTTATATTATTATTATTATTATTAAATTTATATTATTAATTTATTTATTTTATAATATTATATATTATAGTGCTAATATAATATCTGCTATACTATTTTACCTACTGTAGGAAACGAAACATTAAAATTTATTAAATATTAATTTAGCAAACTGTCTAACATAGGCCTCGTAATTCCATAGCTGATCTAACAAATCTATACTCGTGAAAGGATTTATTCCTTAATGGGTAATCATCGAATCACGTTAGAAATGATTCGAATTCCTCGACATTTTCCAAAGTATTCCCAAGCACGTGAGTTACACGCACAAGTACACACACACACACACA